AAGGAAGGAAGGAAGGAAGGAAGGAAGGAAGGAAGGAAGGAAGGAAAGAAAGCTTTTGAGCTGGACACCAGAGTAGATTAAACTACCTTACAATTTAGTCTGGTCAATTTGTCCATTATATATACATGTAGTCCTTGACTTATAAATGTTCATTTAGTGACTGTTTGAATGGCACTGAAGGAAGTGACTTATGACTGGTTCTCACGCTTATAGCCATTGCAGCATCCTTGCAGTCTTATGATGAACGTTCTTATGCTTGGTAACTATTTAAGCAAAGTCAGTGGAGTCAGGCAAAGCCAGATTCACTTAACAAGGCAATAGTTCACTTAACACATAGGACCAAAAAAGGTCATAAGGTTGAGCAAAAGACATTTAACCGCTGGCTTGCTTAATGACGCAAGTTTTGGGGATCAATTGTGGTCATAAGTCAAAAATTACCTGCATTCAATAGGAAAAAGATTGTCTACTTCCAGGGAAACAACAGACACAAAACACACAGGCAGGTTGCGTAAGATCATCAGGGTGGCACCTATTCCCATCTATGGAGGGAAGCTGTGCGAGAAGGCATGACACAGAATCACAGCAAAAACGAGCCACAACTTAATTGGAGATGTGCGATACGCGACGACGGTGGAGCCGTCGTCTCAGTGTTTCAAAAGTTGGAGAACGCAGCCCAGCTTTAATCCAAAATGGCAGGACACGTGTGATCTTTCAAACTCGATTCCTCTCCTGGTGATTAAGCTAGTAATTGGTGCAGAGACCTTGATTGTGTTATAATCACAGCCAATACCGGAGGGCGTCACTTAATATTCACACCACAACTAGCAGTGGGCTGCAACAAGCAAAATGTATACTGCAGACCTCCGAAATTGGCTCCTGCCTGGTTTGGCAACCGTCCCAAATTAACTTTGTACCCATTAAGAAATTGTGTCTGCAATCAAGAAAAAACTACCACAGAATAGCACAGGAAGCATACTGTGCCTACAAACATTTCTCTTAAAGCTTACATGCTCTGCATAAGGTCAGTGTGACTTTGCACCCCACTAATGTCCCACAAGCTGCCTAGATTTTTGCAATAACTCTTCTGAGAGGCTCGGGTGGCTTTTGCAACCGGAGCGGATTTAAATAGTCTTCTTCCAACTGCCCTGCCAGGCCTGGAAAAAACCAGCTGTGTTAAATCACTCCTATAATCATCAGGCAATGAGTGCATCATTGCAAATTGGCTGGCAATTTTATCCAGCGTGGTGTTGCTTGTTGCGTACTAATTGCACGAGCACAACCTCCCAGCTGTTAGGAAAGCTGGCTTGTGTGCCATTACGGGCAGACCAAGAGTGTCAAACCTGGATTGTGAAACAACTTCGGGTGGAATGAAACGGCACACCTTGGGAAGGCGAGCTGAATGGGTGTTGGAATTCATTGTTGCTATGTATTTCTATGCAACAACTACAGTAGTATTCAGCCAGTAGATGGCAGTATTTATAAGTTTGAATCTATGGTATATACTCTATGTCCGTGATGGCGAACCTATGGCAAGCATGCCACAGGTTGCATGCAGAGCCATTTGTGCGGGCATGTAAGCCCCAGCCAAACTTACCTGCCCTGCACATGAGTGCGCCTCCCAGCTGATTTTCAGCCCATTTGAGGCCATTTTCACCCTCCCGGAGGCTCTGCAGCCTCGGGAGGCCGAAAAATGGGCCTTCTGGAAATACCAGAAGTGCCAAAACGGGCCTGTTTTTAGCCTCCTGAGGCTGCAGAGGCTTCCCTCAAGCCTCCAGGAGGGCAAAAATGGCCTCAAATCGGCCAAAAATCAGGCACATGCATGTGCAGTGCAGGTAAAGGCGTGGGGCACATTGCATTGTGGGTGCCGGCATGTGCGCACATGCACTTTCGCACATATGTGCATTTTTGGCACACCACAACAAAAAGGTTCGCCATCACTGCTCTATGTTGCTTTGTACAGAGTAGAGTTTCCTGTTTCCTGTGACAGGTATGTAGTTGAGGAGTAAAGCACATGGTGACTGTACTCTTTGTTTGCTCTGTGTTGAGCAAACAGTTCTGGGAGTTGAAGTCCACACATCTTAAAGTTGTTGAGAAGCACTGCCCTTACCTGTCTGTGGGCTCCTTCCAGTGACACAACCTGGATATCCCAGGAGACCCTTAAAACTGCAGAGCAGATCAAAGCTTGTCCAAGGCTAATGTGCATCTGCACGAGACAGGAATCAAAAAGTCAAATTGGTAGCCACAATGGCCTAACTCAGGGGTTTCAAACACAAGGCAGGATAGTCTCCTTTGACTCAAGACTGAGAAAACATCTACTCATCATCATCTCCTCCTGGATAAGGGTTGGAGGAGCAAACCCCAGGCCATAACACATCTCAAATCTTCTCATGCATAGCACAGAATGAGTTCACACCACTGTACAGCTGTAGCTAAAAATAAATTCTACTGTGCCGGGTTCAGTTCTCACCTCCATCCTTAATTAACCTGGAGGATTAAAATGGGTTATTCAGCATCTCTGAGAGCATGAATCTGCGCTACACACGTGCATATCCAAATGGGTTGTGACAGTTATTTCCCTAAAAGAGCTGTTGTAGCTACCAAAAATTTGGAAGGCTCCTTCCAGACAGGAAAAATTACCCCCAAACCCCAGAATATTTTCTCCGTTATATTTTCCTAGCTTCGTCCTTTGCTACGTTCTGCATCTCCTGATCTTAGGAAAAGCTGAAGGTACTTAAGATACCCAGATAAATGGAAATAATATTATCAGCAGACTCAATGATTCCCCCTTCAACTTCCTTTGCTAGCGTCTAAGAGGTCAGAAAAGCACACGGGTGTAAATTATTTATACTCAGTGGCCAAACTAGGATATCCCCCTATTTGCCAAAGCACCTGAGGTCAGAACAAGAAATAATGGGTGGAAAATCATTAGAGAGAAGCAACCTAGAACTGAGGAGAAATTTATTGACATTGAGAACAATTTAATTAGTGGAATGAGTTGCCTCCAGGGTGCTCCAACACTGGAAGTTTTTAAGAAGAGACTGGGTAGCTATTTGTCTGAAATGATAGAGGATGCTTGAGCAGGAGGCTGGACTAGAAGACCTCCAAGGTCCCTTCCAATCCTCTTATTCTGTTTTGTTCTGGATCATGCTGATAAGCAAAAGCACCACAATTTGACCAATTTCTATGAACCACTGAGGGATGAACACCCTTTAAATGGTGTGGAAGTAGGAATGGATTTCCAGAGGAAAAAAAAATTGCGGATTACAGGAACCAGGAGCGCCACTCAGGTGACCCTGAGGATACAGATAAACCTCCAAGTGCCTCAACAACCCTCTAAAATTCTGCAAATGACCATCTGTCTGCAAGGAGTTTCAATCCTTCCCGTCCGCACCATCCAGTCAGAGCTGAAGAAGCTTCTTGGATGAGAAGAGAAACATCTTCTAAGGAAAAAAAAAACAGAAAGTCCAGTTGTGTCTTGAAAAAACAAGCACCTCTGGGACAACCATGGCCTGGAGGACTGAGAATCTCTACAGACTTTCAACAGCAACATACTTTAAAGCAGGCTTTTTTTTTTTGTAAATTTTATTGGTTTTTAAAAACAAACAAAAACAAACAAAACATAAAAACATCCAACTTTCTTCCATAAGTATACAAGCAGTGTGTCAGTTGGTTTACAAAATTTTTGTGCATCCATTTCATAATCTCAATTACAGTTACATTGCATAATTGCTCATATTATCAATGAAAAATTGAATACCCTAGTATCATTATTAATCAATCATTTGACTGTAATTTTGTTCATTCATACTTTGCGTGATAACTATAATTTACTTAGTTTATTTTATAACAATTCATATAATCCTCCCAAATCTATCCTAAAAACATTTTGTAGATATAATAATAAAAAAAGAAAAAAAAACATCTTTATATATTCATTATTTTCTAAAATTCTACATATTCCATTATTATATTTTATTATCTAACCATTGATAGAAAAGGTTCCAAATTTTGTAAAATTGTTTATCCTCTTGTTCTCTAATTTCAAATGTCAATCTACTCATTTCAGCACATTCCAATGTTTTCTTAATGATTTCCTCCTGCGACGGTATTTTCTCGTTTTTCCAGTTTTTAGCAAATACAATCCTAGCCGCTGTTAATACGTTTACAATGAAATATTTCAAATCTTTGCTTATATGTATCAGGTAAAATTCCCAATAAAAAATATCTCTGGTTTCAAATCTATATGGTTTTTTTTTTTGTCATCAGATACCTGGCTCATATTATCATATGTGGTGGAGTTGTGCGGATGCTAGAAAATACTGGACTAAAATCCACATGTGGTTGGAAAAAAAGTAGGCATTTTTGTGTCCCGGTGAGGAAAAAAGGGCAGAGGAATCTTTTGATGGACTTCAGGAATGCCAGCTGTAGAGTCTGGTTGACATGCAAGCGACACACCAGCAGGTCAAACGTCCTTCTCAAGGCTCAATTGAGATTCCTGGGTGACTTACATGGATTACGTATGGATTACTGAGATTCTGTAAGGGAAATGCTCAGAATGCTTCTGGAAAGCTACTTAAGAGTTTACTCATTCTGGAGGGACAGCCATCCCGCAGAAAAGCCAACTTGATCCAAATTACCTGAGGATTTTGTATAGGGGTGTGTGTGTGTGTGTGTTTGTACACTTGAGTCCATGTTGATAATTTCTACCTGCCTAAGCAAGACCTTGAAGTTTTCTTGGCAAGGTTTTCCCCCCACACACACAAAAAAGGGGGTTGCCCTTGGCTTTCTAAGGTTGAGAGAAAGCAATTGGCCCAAGGTCATTCAGCTGGGTTTAGGCCTCATAACAGAATAACAGAGTTGGGAGGGATCTTGGAGGTCATCTAGTCCAACCCACTGCTCAAGCAGGAAATCCCATACCATTTCAGATGAATAGTTGTCCAATCTCTTCTTAAAAACTTCCAGTGTTGGAGCATTTACAACTTCTGGAGGCAAGTTGTTCCCCTGATTCATTGTTCTGGGAAGGGAGAGAAGGTGGGAGGGAGGGAGGAAGATAATAAAGATGGATGGATGGAAGGAAGGAAGGTAATAAAAGATGGAAGGAAGATAATATAGAGGAAAGAAGCTGTTCCACTGGTTGATTGTTCTCACTGTCACAACATTTCTTCCCAGTTCAAGGTTGCTTCTCTCCTTGATTAGTTTCCATTCATTGCTTCTTGTCCTGACTTCAGGTGCCTGGAAAATAAGTTGATTCGCCTTCCTCATGTAGGACTTGATCTTACAGTCTCCTGGTTTCTACCCTGGTGCTTTAACCACTACCCATCCTGGCTCTTCCTGAGTTATACTGATGATCTGTTTTAGCTCCGTCGGAGCTGAAGAACTTCATTCAACAGCTTTTCCAAGGTTAGGGATAAACAATGGAAACAAGGAGAAAAGTTGATAATAGCAGACCCCCAACTTTTAAGGAGGTTTTAAAACATATCTTTATTTAGCCTACACTGCAGTGGTGGGATTCATCCTTTTTTTTTTTTTACTACCGATTCTGTGAGATCGTGCTTCGCGCATGGGCAGCATTCATAAACTACCAATTTTAAGCTTCGAAACTGGCCTTGAATTCAACGCTGGTGAGTAAAACAGCTGAGGCGCAGCAATTCTGCTCTGCGGCGCAACTCAGCTCAGTTCAAAAATAAGGAAATAAAATACAGGAAAGGGCTGGTTGCAACTGGTTCTGTGGGCGTGGCTTAGTTGGTGGGTGTGGCTTGGTGGTCATATGACTAGCTGGGCGTGGCCAACTCAATATCACTCACATCGAGGCACGCATCTCCTCGCCTGGCCTCTCATGACTGTGGAGATGCTGCAACAGTCGTAAGTGTGAAAAACGGTCATAGGTCACTTTTTTTCAGTGCCACTGTAACTCTGAATGGTCTCTCCACAAAAGCAAAGTACCAGCAAAGGAGGGGAAAGAAAATTCCAGAAAGGTTTCTGAGACGGGAAATCTAGTTCTGCCAAGAACATAATAAGGGTTAACGGAGAGGCAGTTTCTGTAAGCAACACCAGAATGTTTCCTTCCTGTCTTCCTTACAGGATTAGGCCAGTAATTTCTTCTACCAACCGGTTCTCTGAACTGCTTAGAATGTTAACAACTGGTTCTAGCGAATAGGTGCGAACCTGTAGAATCCCAACCCTGCCCTTAAGTCTTTTCTTTTCTATTACTATTACCTTTTTGGTATTTATACACCAACTGGGAACTGTGGTGATGGATAGTTCTAATACTTAGAAAGACAGGAAATAGTTTTAAAATGTGGATGTCCCTAATATTTATTTCAATTGCATTTTGGACCAAACCAGCCCCTTCCTCCCCCTCTCCCACTCCCCCCCTCACACACACACACGTGCTACCTTGTTTATAAAGGATAAATACATCCTCTAACATTGCCTGAACATTCAAAGCATCTGAAAACACAAGGAGAAATTTGTCATTTTTATAGCTATTGTCCGTTTAATCTTCAGTTACCGTACTTTTTTTCAGTCAGTTCATCTATAATGAGTTTCAGTTTAACGCAGATTGTTGGGGGGAAAAAAAATCTGTCTTGGTAGGTATCTTGCAACTTTCCTGATGAATTTTGGAGGGGCTGTGCAACATTATTGCATGGTGAATTAGACAATTGGATCATGATAGGATTAATTATCACATCATGCCTTAAAGTAACACCAGAGGATTGTTGAAAATTAAATCCAAACCTGGTTCACACTTCGCTGCTGGAGTTTTGGGCCCTGGGAACTCTCCAAAATTTTGGATTTGGGTTCTCACTGTGTTGCTTGTCACTTACACCTAAACACATTTTTTTTTAAAAAATAAAATCTTTCTTGAGATATAAGTTAAACAATTGAAGTTTTGAAATATGTGCAGTTGCGTTGTTCTTGCCCAGATTCTGAAGAGAAGAATACAAAGAATCTGAATGGTGCCCACACTGGATTCTTGGGCAGGGTGTGTTGGGATGACCATCCCCTTGGCTCTCTTCACCATCTGGGACTCTGCATCTCAACAAGGAAAGCTTGTCTAGATGCCAAGGTATTTGCTCACTCATTCTCTGCGAAGCTGTCAAATCCTATAAATTCATCAGTGCATGCTGTCAAAGGCAGACATATGGTTTGCAAACCTTCCAACTGCATTCAGAAGAGATTATAGTACAAACACTTACTTGCTTACGGTTTCACCATTTTAGGCCATCAAGCTGTGCAGTTTAGCAAAGTAGGAACATTTTGCAACTCTGAATTAGTTCTTTCCGGTATCCTGAAAGCTACTTCTTGGTGGTGTAGAACACGAGTGAGTTTTCAAGGGCACATTGACCTCGCTGCCTAGCATGCAACAGAATAAATGGAATTATCACCTTTTTTTGTTTTTCCGATTTTCTCTGCATGCGTAAGACTCTGCCTCCTGGCCCTCTGAGTGTCAGCAGCCTCAATAAAAACACCCTTTTCACAATTTAAAAGCGTCCCACTCAAGCAACTGTAATCCTATATTTTTCCACCCTATTTAGGGAACCAAAAAACTCTTTCACTTTCTATGGGTCTGAGATCCGAATATTTGATTCGCTTTCCTGTCTCATTTTTCCCCCCAATTATTACTATGTTCTAGGAGAGCAACTTTCAGACTTGTGGACATGGCTGGCTGAGGAATTCTGGGAGTTGAAGACCTACAAGTCTTAAAGTTGGCAGGTTTGGAGACCAGGACTCTAGGATAACATCAAGTAATGTAATCAAAAGAGGCATACCCAGGGAGATCGGTTGGGGAACGGTTTAAAAAAAAGGGCAAAGAACTCATTAAAAAGGGGGCAGGCCTTGCCACCATCTTGATTTTTGACCTTCTCTGGGGACAGACATTCATCCTCAAGAAATTAAAACTCTCCCATTTCCAGAATGGGGAAGATTGAAGCTCAAAGGTCTGGAAGAAGGGCTAAAGAGCAGGGCTATCCATGGGACATAGTCAAAAAATTCAGAATAGTTACCATCAGAGGTGATATTCAGCCGGTTCAGACTGGTTCTAGTGTACTGGTAGCAAAAATTTTGACTGGTTCAGAGAACTAGCAAATACCACCTCTGGCTGGCCCCAGCGCCTCCACTCTTACATCTCACCTCTTCTGTATTCTGTTGTTTATTAGCTCAGCTGATTCGCGCTGCAGAACAGACTTTTTCTTTTCAGATGTAGCCAACGCACTCATATTTAGAAAGTAGTAAAAATATGATGCCCAATGCACAACTCACGAAAAGGATGCAGATGACCAGCTGTCTGCAAGGAGTATAAATCTTCCCATTCCCCACTATCCAGTCAGAGCTGAAGAAGCTTCTTGGATGAGAAGTGAAACATCTTCCAAGAAAAACCAGAAAGTCTATGATCTGGATGACTGAGAATCTCCACAGTCACAGGGTGCACAATATTGCTTTAAGTCCTTTTTTTTTTTTCAAATGGGAAAAATACTTTTATTTAATGTATTTCTGTTCCCCACAGCGAGGAATTATTTGCTCAAGTGGCTGGCTGTGTTTTGCTAATTGTAACACATGTTCATCGAACATCTGTTTCATTCAGGAATAACAAAATGTATTTTCATTGCATCTTCTCCCTTTTCGACTGTCAGTTACTTTATAATTGTAATGTTATTATTTCAGCCAATGTTCGGGCCATTCCTTAATTGTTGCATGTCGTATTTATTTTTAGATTCCTATTATCATTTCTTGGGCCACCTCAAAGTATCAGCAGCACAACTACAGAGTCTCACAGATGCCAGCATATGAAAAAGAGAGAGCCATGCATGCATACAATAAGAATCCTATTTCTGTTTTTCAAAAAATAAAAAATAAACCCCAGAACCATTGTTTGCACACAGCTGTCTCTGTGCTCTAGTGCTACTCTTTTTAGAACTCTCTGGCTGTTTCAAACTTTAAGCACCAATAGAAGAGACTATTTGTAGTTCAAGGTTGAACTGTGGGCTCCTTGGTGCTCTCTGAGCTTGGTTGTTTTCTTGCAGATGTTTCCAACTATGTAAATCATCAGTGCTAGTGATTGTGGAATTTCCCCCTGTTTTTATAGAATAGAATAGAATAGAATAGAATAGAATAGAATAGAATAGAATAGAATAGAATAGATATTGGAATGAAGAGTAGAGTAGAGTAGAATAGATATTGGAATGAAGAGTAGAGTAGAATAGGGTAGAGTAAAGTAGAGTAAAATAAAATAGAATAACTTCATTGTTACTTTGAATATACACTAATTGGCATACATTAAAAATGAAATTTCATTGTATTCAGCTCTTAAAGGGTCACCATCTCCAATTTTGCTCTACATAAACATTACAAGATAAATAAATAAATAAATAAATACAAAAGTATGTATATACCCACATATATTATATGATATTATATGGAGCAAATGTCTATTCTACTGTATGGGCCCTATATGACAGGCCAAGTTAGTACACATAAACAGAGATCAAACCCTACGCTCACTCTGAAGATATTTCCTAGTTGGGTAATGAAACATAAACAACCAAGCTCACAGATCAGCTCACAAGAAACCCATCAGCTCACAAGAAACTGAACCACGTCTCAGTAGCAACAACTAGCCATTCAAACAGACCGGAATCAGACCACGTCTCAGAAGTAGCTGAACAAACAACACTAATTTCCATCACACAGACAGTACTTCAAACCAAAGAGCATGTCTCTGTAACAACAGCCAGCCAATCACACGTCTGAAGTCAGACCACAACCCAGAAGTAGCTGAACAAACAACATCCACACTAATTTGTATCACATAAAAGGTATTTCAAGGCTGTGACAGACGAGCACAGCTCAGTGTTTAAGCCATTGAGCCACTATGTCCCTTGGTCAATTGAGATCGTCTTAATGTCAAATCCGGGACTGGGTGTGATGGTGTCTTAGCAGCCGCTCCTGAACCCAGTGTCATTTCAGATTCTCATATCCCCTTTTGAGAACCTTTCTGACTGTCCAATGCCACCATTTCCATTAATATTAATATGTTATGCTTCCCTTGGAGATTCTTCTGAATAGATGCAGGTGCCGTTTAGTTCAGTTTAGTTTATTGTCATTGCACTCCATAACAACAAAATTAAATGCCATCTTCAATCTACATTGTAACTATGAAAATAAAACACAAACACACATCCTTCACATTCTATACAATTGAATTGAAAACCCCTGATATTGCATTAATATTGCACTCTCAGTGGCTAAGACGCTGAGCTTGTCGATCAGAAAGGTCGGCTGTTTGGCCGTTCGAATCCTTAGCGCCACGTAACAGAGTGAGCTCCCATTACTTGTCCCAGCTTCTGCCAACCTAGCAGTTTGAAAGCATGTAAAAATGCAAGTAGAAAAATAGGGACCCC